GTAATCAGTATCCAAGTATTGGAAATGAATTTCCGTAAGCAAGTCGCAGACTTTGGGACCTAAGAAGAGGATGTCGTCTATATGTTTACTGAAAAACGCAAATTAGTATTGCATTGTATACACTGTAAATATCGGGAAGGGGTGCGACTTACTCTGCCAGTTTGAAGCCTCTTCCAAAGACGATCTTCCGTGTCGATGTTCCAACGATTTTGTGGTACTTGTCGTCCCAGTGGTATCTGGAATCTTCGAAGGCGGCTTGTTTGTTTCCTTTGACAAGGGGCTTTGGAAGACGAGGTTTTGGCTTCGGCGCGTCTTGCACTACTTGTGCTACTTGCTCTACTTGGACTGCAGCGGGTCGTAATACGACTGAAGGCTTCGCTCGGGCCGCTGCGGCTACGACCTCCTCTTTCGGGGCAGGTTTAAAGCCAAAGGCAGCGAGACCGCGCGAAGAAGCAGCTTGCGCAACACTGTTCTTCTTCTCTGTACGGATTGGTGGCATGGCGGGATTTTGTGTGTAACGACGGGAGGTGAGGAAGGAGGTTTGGTAGGAAATGAGATCGTGTGCAAACAAGATGCACGGGCCGGGATTGTACCAAACAGGGGCGTCTTGTCCAGAAGGATATTACCACTTCAGACGTCGCCAGCACATCGGCGCCATCGCATAAGTAGCCGTCCCAGGTGGGTTCAAAGTACTTGTAATCGGATTATCGCGAGATAAAATCGCGAACACACGCAGAATTGACGCGTCTTCACGTTACCTTGATGTAAGGAGGCTGCTGGGACGCGTTGCAGCGGAAAGAATAGCATCTCCACGCGCAACTTTCGGGCCTCCGTATCACAAAAGGAAGCTGTTATTGTCAGTCCTCATTTCAGTAGATGGTCGACGTGGAGATTCACATGTTCGTTGGAGAGGTGATCGAACGTTCGACGGCGCGCCAACCAATGTCATCGCGGCAGGGTGGCGAACCACGCTAGTCGCCAGCCACCCTCACGGAGACGTGCCTTCGCACTTCCTGCAACCGCGCATCACACGCTTCACATCAGCAACACGGCCATTGAGCAGATTTCCTACGGCTATGCTACGGTTTATATCGATTACACGCTCCAACACCCTGCAAATAGCCCTGCAACCTGTCTCCCGGCTGCCGCCATGCCACTCTCTACGGATCGTTATCTCGCGGCTTCCTCAGCCGGAAGTATCAGAACTGTAAGATAGGATGCGGATGCTCAGATGTATTATATGTGCAGTTCACGAGGCTCTCAGTAATTCCTGCGCCAATCAAGCTCTTCCCCAGTATTTCCGCTGCCATCCTGGTATGCGCAACAGCTATCAACACAGATACTGGAAGATGCCGCCCATGTTGTAAGTCTTCATATAGAACTTCAGCTGATGGTTCAAGCTACTTTGCAGTGAAGGGATGTGGAAGATTCGGAAAACTGATAGCTATATGGTGATGCTACGAAGGTGTCGCTCATAAACATAAGCGCTCACAAACCGCAAACACACAGGGAGTGAAAGACTGAAGCCGCTTCTGACTCCGCTCACACTCTACTCTCGCACATTGGAGCCTACGCATGTGACCTCATCTCTGATAGCGCTAGTTTTGACGTTCGCTGTCTTTCCACTCTGCCCCTCCACTTCCTATGGTCTACGCGTCTGAATTCTACTTCCACTACGACTCAGCTTCTACACATCTTCATCGGGCTCACCAAGCGATATGGCTAGTCAGAATCCCAATCAAAGTGACAGCGAATCACTCCACGCGGCCATCGTTGGACATGTCGATAATCCTACACGCGATAAGGCTTTGGCAATGGCGTCGACAAGCAGCAGGCCCGGTGCGGACATGCAGTTTCTTGCCATCGCGACCGGTCAGATGTCACCTGAGGAGGCATACCCAACGGTTGAGGATACTGAAAGAATGTATTGTCGAACACCTATCAGACTGGACGAATAGTTCACTGACAAAAGCAGGTGGCGCGCCCGACTCGTGAAGAACGCACGCAGGCACGTAACCATTGTCGCGAAACTGGGAAATGAGAGCGCGACTTGCACTCTACCACAGGATCTTGCTACAGGCGGATCAGACGAGATTGGGAAGCAGGTTAGTTCAAACTCCGCGGAAAGCCATTCTTCCGCAATGTTACGCACGGTAACATCGCGCTGTCTCGATAGCCTAAACTAACTACTCGACAGGTGGACGCTGCAGGAAACAGCCGCTGCGTGGTGACTATGCACGAATACGACTTCATTGTCGTTGAGATGATGATACAGCATATCCTCGACGTCGAATACCATCTAGACCATACCCAGAAGCTCGACAACTACAAGTTGACACATCTGAAGAAGGCCCAGCCTGGTATCGAAGACGATAGTATTACGGTACGGGTTGACGATACACCAACAGAGTTCCACCTCAAGGTATACCTGTGCGCGAGAAAGATGGCCATGCCGGTGCTCTGGCCCATCGCTGTTACACATTACCATAACTCTCTTGTCGAGAGCCAGCCCACCGCCGAAGAGTTCGCCAACATGCTGGAGAGAAACAAGTCGTACTTCGAGTCAGACTACACCAAAGGAGAACTCGTACACTTGATCGCGGGTGACGTGTCTGCGGATGGAGACGATGGCGAGGTCAACGATCACATGGAGCATGAGCTTCAAGGCTCACTCGTCATAGAGACAGAGTGAAGCTGGCATGGGAGCTGCTCAGTTAACTCACATTCATGGTACTTCTAGGTTTGGCGTTCAAAGTCTGGCGTTCACAGGTGGTGCTTCTGGAAATGATACTCGGGAAGATAGGTTCCTGTAACGCAGATACAATGAAATGGGCAATGTATTGCGCTTCAAACAGGGCATTTCAATGATGACAATCGGAGCGCGAACACGTTCAATCAGGATTCGTGACGCATGTTGCTGCACGCACATTACTAGATGTTAATCAGTAGACACTTCTTAAGACAACGTATACTTCTACCTTGGATTTAGACTTGTAGTGTGCGACACGGGTTGCGGCCGCCCCTAGTGACGGCGCCGCCAGGATACGTCGGGGCAGTTGTGGGGCGCTCCTCCGCGGCGTACCGACCTCACCCAATGCTTCAAACTTCCTTCCTCCGTCACCTTATCATCCATCGCATTCAACACTGTATCGCATAGTATTCGAATGGCACGTTTCATTACGACTATGTCTCTTTCGAAGTTTCCCAAAGACTGTCCCGTCTAGTAGACAGTCTTACATTTCATGCCCTTCCGTGGTTCCGCCCTGTACATGAGCTCCACTAACGAAGCGGCTAACAAGCATCGCCATACTACTCTCCACGTACACAAAATACGAGAATATTAGGCTCAGTACCATTTCGCTGAAGACGTATTAGGGTACTCGACCTCTCATCCCCTCCTCTTCCGCTTGTTACCGATCTTGACTTTCTCCGGCAGCTTCAAGATGTCTCTGTATGTATCAACAGCCATGCGGAGCTCTCCACGGAACTCGTTCCTCTCCTGAGTAGCGTTCTCGAAGACTACGACATCTTGCAGTGGCCATAGTCCTCTGTAGATATGACGCAAAGTACACGCCACGGCCATGTCTCGTAGTATGCCGGTCTGGTCCATGCAGATTTTGGTCGTCTCGTCTCCGGGAGAACCATAAATCCAGCTCAGTATTTTCAGCAGAAGCTCAACAGTCAGTCTGCTAGCCCACAGCATCGCCTCTGCTAGTTTCGCGTGCGCAACCGTCATGAGCTCCTGATACCTGAGCCGCTCCCCCATGTTGTACATCTTGAGGTGGAACTGGATGGATGAATCAAGCTGGACGGCGAAATCATCGCTCAATTTTCCCGGAGGTAAGTATGTAGCATGGTGCAGGCTCCGCGCGCGGCCACCTTTGTCTAGTTGATAAGTGTTGGTGTATACGAAGTTGACAAAGCGATCGACCATGATGGGGCTGAAATCATTCTCGTTGAAGACGAGGGTGACCGGTGGGGGATTCTGCTCGTTCTGTCACATCCTTAGCAGGCATTGACGTTACTCGGAGTGGAGAGACATACTCCTGCTGGATGTAGATACTCTTCAATCGTCTCTGCGCCACCCAGAAGGAAAGCAGTGTGAACGTCGAACTGAACGCCGTCGCAAATGAAAGTCAAGTCGCAACCCTGGCGCTTCGATAGCACTGCTTTGCCTCGCCTATTGTTTGGGTTAGTGCTCACCCTGAAAGATAGACTGATTTGGACTTACTTGGCCTGCGAACGGGTCGGGAGCAATGGCTTGCTGAAGCCGACAAACAGTTGCTTCACCAAGTTGTCCAGAGATTTTGGGTCGACCGACATGTTCTCCTAATATAGTCAGACTCGAGTGGATTGTGCGACGTGGCGACAGAGCTGTGTGCTTACCATCTCTAGGAAGGTTCTTTCGCTGCTGCTGGGTGATTTAAGAGAGCTTTGGACGCTATAACTATATCACCAAAAAGAGCTAGGGAGGATTAGCTTCCGTCTCCGCGCTGGGCTGTTTGCTCCCTTGCGTATGACGCAATCTGTGAGGAATCGCGAGCAAAAAAGAGAGAGCGTGGTCTATCTCGGGATCGAACACAGGCAAAAATAAAGTCACCTCTCACCAAACAGCTAAGTGAATTGTCAAGCCGAAACTTGGAACGATAACACGCATAATCAACCACCGAACCGCGCAACTTGGTATATGTCAGAATATATCTCATTATAGACACGTCCAACACAAGATCAACCCGCGTCGAATGTGTTGGCCCACTGATCAGTGAGGGTGGAGTGAAGGGAACGCAAAGCTACGACACTGAGCATAATACGTCATTCTGGTCCGTCACGTTCGCCGCCATTCCTTACTGTTCTAGGAGTCAGGCAAACGAGGCTGGCTAGGCAACCACAACACAATAATATTCATAGTGCGTGATTGCGCCATTCTGCAGCCAATTCGACTTCTGTCTAGACCAACTCTCTTCGCCCCCCACCACACACATCTAGAGCAACTGCCTTTGATGTCTCAACAACCAGCGGAATCAGACGCGCTTCAATCCACGATGTCTATAGCACAGCAGCCACAAACCGCCTCCTTGCAAGATGGCGAGCTGACCACAGGGACCAATTCGGCTGATATTGGCTATGTTGATCATTTGCTTGGTAAACTGTCCGTCGAGAAGCTGGACTTTGGCGATCATGAGATCTTCGAAACGTAAGACAACCTCTCGTCTTTCGTACAGGGAAGTATTCCGACTGACTTTCCGACAGCGCACGCGATCAAGACCGCCGTAACCTTCAGTGTGGCTTATCACTCCCTTCTTCCGATGCGGCAACTAGTTTCACTGTCAACAAGGACTTGGCAGTATCAAGGTCCATCTGGATCCACACTAATGTAAGTTCCTAGCAATGTGGTCTGGGAAGCCATTGTCCCGCGCTTCCCACTTGATATTCTAGACATATTTTGGATGGGTCAAAACGCGTCTAGAATTGTCTCTGTCTCTCCTCTCCTGATTTCATGGGGGGTCATCATTTGACTATTGGGCTAATTAAACTAAAGATCGACAACCTCGCTGAGATCCCCACCAAGCAGTACAGTCCGGCTGTTGTCAAGATTGTTGCCAGTTCCATCATCGGTATCAAGTACAGCCTCGCCGAAGAAGATATTCCGAGCGACACAACGGCAACCGCGATGCACCTGCAGCTATATCTCTGCGCGACTGAGATGGGTATGGAGTGCCTCGAAAAGTTCGCATTCAAGTTCTTCAGGAATGCCCTTACTAAAGATGGATCGACACCTGAAGGGCTCAGGAGCTTGGTCGAGCATCACAAGCTGTTCACTGTGGATTTCTGTCAGAAGGCATTCACAGTACCTCAGTACGAAAAGGTCATGTGTACTTTCGCGACTCACATCATTGTGTATGAAGACGTCTTCGACGGAAGCAGCTTCTACAGTGGACTGCCAGTGGTTACAGCAGGATACTTGCTCAGATACCTGCACAAAGTCAAGACAAACGTCAAGCTGAGGCTCGAAGCTCACAAGAAGGGTTTAGTTGGCGCGAATAAGGCACATCGACGTCGTGCTTCGCGGGAGCTCCACGGTCGAGGTCCTAGCTCGCGTCGTCTCATCGACGATGTAACGCTTACACCATCTCACATACCCTCGGCTGCGTCGGCTTTCGAACAGCTTGACGGTCGCCGCCTTCTTGAGCAGAGCGTGGACGGCAGTTCCCTCACACCCCGCGCCGGACGATACCAGCATCAAAACCGCTTACTGCCGAGCGGCGACTCGCGATTCCGGGAGCTAGATGAAGAGGACGATGAAGCCTTCAACCCACCCTTCGCATCCACCAGCCCGATCCGTCCCGTGAAGGGTGGCACCAACCGGGAGATAGAACATGATGAAGTTCTTATCGAGGACGGTACCGATGCCGACATGACCTTCGTCATAGCCAGCCAAGGCGTCATCTCGTCTGACAACGGGGGACAGTCTCAGCCACCTCCTCCTCCTCAAGCGGGCGGCAACGTCGCAGTGGAGCCAAAGGATATCACCATGCTCGAAGCCCCGGAGTCGGAAAAGAAGGACACGACTATGGTCGACCCCCCGAAGTCTGCAAAAAAGGACACGACCATGATAAACAACACCACGATGGGCATAGGTAGTCCTGGACCTGGCTCCTGATTGTTTGTTGGAGGATAACATAAGCCGCTGTAGGCTTTTGTGGTCCATACGCGCTCATGCGAGCATGGGTACAACGAGGCTATAGTCTCCAAAGCCCACCATCCCTTTTGTTTCATGACTCTGCTTCTAGCGGAGACCCTCCAGGCATAGGCGTTCATAGGTGGTCTGTTTCGCGATGATACCCGGAAGGATAGCAGGAGGATGGCGTTCAGGGTAGTACTACACACCTAATGAAACATGTTGATGACCATCACGTTGCTTCATCACTATTCCAACAGTAATACCATATGGTGTGTGCATGCTACAATCATAGCCATATCGTCCTTCATGTTGCTTGCAGAAATCTTGAGCCTTTCCCTGCTCACACATATACCTCACGTTCATTGCTCCAAACGTCAAAGTAAGCCGCACAAGAGCTCTCATTGTTCTTGTTCTAACATCGCGACACAGCTCCTCAGCAACGCCATCAACCGTAGCTGTATATTCCGTCCCGCAGGTGTGTCCGCATGTTTACCAGCACCCCAGCCGAATGGCAGCACCAGTCTCCTTCTGCCCTTCTTATCCAGCACGACGAGTGCATCTAACGGAAACTTGCCTCCACCAAGGGGATGTAGTAGGCCCAGGCGGACGAAGTGGTTGTTCGAGGGAGTTGCGGCTTGTATCAAGGGGAGCGAGAAGGGCGCGGAAGAGGGGAGTCTATGTGTTGATGGGTCGTGACAGAGGACGAAGGGTTGAAGGGAGGGCGAGAGCGCGTAGAGATCTGGGAGGGAGGAGCTGTAGGTTGTTAGTAGTGGTTTGAAATGGTTCAGGATGATCTTACCAAAGCAGGTCATAATGGACCTGAACGTTCCCTTGCACGCACAAAACAACTATAGACGCCTGCCTCTTATACCTTGCCCAGTTATTATGCGCTTCCAGCATACTGCCTACAGGAGTCGCGAGCGTACTGCTACCCAGTATCGCATCCACATCCACGCTCCATGCCTCCTCCGGACTTATAATATCTAGCTCTTCCAGCTCGCACTGCGTCTTCGACCTCTTCAGCGCATCGCCCAATGGCGGCAGCGCAGGCGACGGCTCCCTCCTCCGCTGGACCTCGTCCTCATCCTCGTCAACAGTCAGGCGCGAGCGTTTGCGGCTAAGAGCCACATCCATGGTCCAGCTGTCGTGCGTAAGTAAGTCACCCATCTACGGCGTCACGGCATACATGCGTTGTGGGTGGAGAAGAAGACACGACCAGCGCCCATCTTCCTACGACAGTCGGTCTGGGGTTGTCGCAGAGACGCACGCACGAGCGAAAAGACCCAGGGTTTCCTGCACGTCAGGCCCAAGCTCCCCCTGCATACCCCGCCATCAACGCGCCTTCCGCCTTGCCTGCGCAGCGACCTACCCCACTATCCATCAGCTCAGCTGCGCCTAGGCTACCAGAACGGCGGCTGGCGAACCTGCGACTTGGATGCTTCGCGCCCATGGCTGAGAGAGACATTGCGAGTAGACTGCGCCAGAGCACTTGGAATGGGAGTATCCCGCTCGAGATACGCCTGCACAAGGGCGACTGTAGGACGTACGACGAGTCGGATCCTTACTTAGTATGTGCAGTGTCGACATAGTCTGGCGATGATACATCGGATGAGCTATGGCTGACTAGAGGTAGATACAATTTCCACGCATATCGTATCTCGGGCTGCTCATACACAAACTGCATGCCTTCTTCGCACGCAGCCTCATCTACCCGGATGTCACGCCCAAAGACGCATGGTTATCCTACGAAGATGTGCCGCTGAAATGGCATTATCCACTGGGTCTCCTCTACGACCTCTACTCTGGCGCTGAGCCCGCGTATCCTTCAGACACGGATACGGAGGCTGAACAAGCGCACAAGATCGAGAGTACAGAGGAAGAGCGTCAACATTTACCATGGCGACTCACAGTACACTTCTCCGACTTCCCTTCTGAACAGCTGGTTCAGCTTGATAACGACGACAAGCACATGCATGACTTATTTATCCACAGCGTGAAGGAGGCCGACTACCTCAGGACAGGAACAGGAAAGACAGTCATGTTTCTGAGCAAAGAAGACAGCACGCAGCTCTGGAGCGGAGTGAAGAACCACGACTTTGCGGTGTACAACCCCATTAACCAGAAGCTGCTGAACCCGCAAGGAGTCAACCTGAGACATCTACCAGTGCGGCTCTATCTCCCACACGCGTCGTCGGAAGGGGTGCAAGAAGAGACGGCACCCGGGAGTTTGAGAGTAGTGCAGAGGCTGGTGACGCCGAACCTGTCGTCTAGTACGTGTAATTGCGGTGTAGGTGTGGAAGGCGCTGACGGCAGACAGGGCAACCACAGACCATCGGGACAGCACTGAACGCGATATTGCCGACACTATTTCCGAGCAGACGCAGTCCGCTGCTGGCGCAGGCCGTGTTGCACGGAGCGGTGCTGCCGCTGAGCGCGAGTGTGGAGGAGCTGGTGCGCGCGACGGCATATCTCGATGGCTGGCTGCACATTGCGGTGGTTATGATGGGCTGAATAAGGATTTATGCCAACAGCGACGGCGGTCACATGGGCGCCGAGTCATGTGGCGACGCTATTCCACGATCCCGGATAGCAACAATATTGGCAGTACGGGCAGCGTCGCGATAGCGGACGCGGCAACACAACTCAGACGTTCCAAGGCGCGCGTGCAGCTCGCGACACTTGCTTCTGCTGATGGTGCCTGTGACATGGTGATGCTCTGCAGCGTTTCAAAGGCCGTGTAGGGCTCGTGTGCCATGCTTCGCCAAGATGCGGGGGCACAGGCACAGCAGAAGCTTAGTGAGGATCCCGGCATCGAGCTACCAAGGCCACCCCACGCGTCTCCAGTCTGCCTGGGCGCTATCGGCGTAGCGCGTCGCCCTGTCGACGCGAAGCCAGCGTCTGGAAATGAGGCATTATTGACGTGCGTTGTTTTTGGCTCCGGTGCGCTAGGCCTGCTGTTGCCCGGTTGATGCTGCCCACGGTTCGGCTGGTGTCAAACGGCCCTGGCGAGATATCCGAGGGTGCAGGTGGGTTCGCGCCGCCTTCATCAGTCATGGACGATAAGCAATGGGCGATGACATCGATGCTGCTTCTGCCGCACAAGAACGGTTTAGAGGTGGCAGGGGTGCTGGCTGAGTGGAGCCGACGAGTAGCGTCAGCGGCTTGCAGCGCCAGACGCACCTGGGCAACTGTGTGGAGGCGCGAGCGAGAGGTTCATGGGGAGTGCTGGGAGTGCTGGGAGTGCTACAGTGGATGGCTTGGTATCAACGACCGGTGAAGCTCTAAAGCGGCTCTTCTCGTGACAGGCAACTAGCAGATAGTGACTACACATCAGAACGTGAGTATCTCCGACGTGAGGCTGCGATCGTCGGCTCATCTACGACGAAATGATGGCATGTCGCGCCATTGGCTGCACTGGGTAGCTCCCTCCTAGCTCCCTCAACCCTCGCGGGTGGTTGCTAGGCCCGACCCAACCTTCATCTACTCTTCACGCTGCTCCTCGCCCCGAGTCTCCAACATCCCCCAGCGCCCACTATCCATTACCCACTCGGACGAGCCTCAGACGTAAGTACCGCTCCCTACTCCCTCCCTCCAGGCCCGCGCCCATTCCCCGGCCGAAGCGACGCTGCACCCACCCTTGCAAGCTTGGAGCCTCCCGGACAACCCGCTAGGACCCGGGGCCAAACAAAATGCCTCATCAACTGTGCAGAAATTTTCGGCGAGCCGGCGCATTTAAAAGCGGACATTCACCCTCTTGCTATTAAGAGCTTTTTCGTTCTCACTCTTTGATGCTGCATCGCTGTCGACCTGCGCCTTTCAATTAAACATCGCCGAGTCCCTCTGCCTAGCGACCGTTTCCGTGGGTTTGATCCGATCGCGCTGACCAGCTTCCGTTGCCATCAACAGCCAAAACAAAGCTTCCCTCAGCTCGATATTCAAACAGTGGACCGATTCAATTCGTAAATGTAAGCTCAATGCCGCCTTGTTCTGGAGCTGCCGGGGAGAGTTCGCGTCACGTTGTCGCATCCCGTCGCGTCGTGTCGCATCGCATCGCATCACCGCCATCGGGACCAGTCTCGCGACAAGCCTTGGCCGAAGATCGTTACGCTCGAGACCTCTCTTGGGAGTGAATCGCACGCGCCCAATGCGCCTGGCCTGTGCTTCTCCAGCTCCGGGAATCCTTCCAGGTCTTCACAGCTGCTCGTACGAACAACCTTTCTAACATCTCCACCCCAGAAACCCACAAACAAACACAATGGCCGCCATCAGCATGCCCATCGCCGCTCGCGCCGAGTACGCTCTCCACCAGCTCGCCAAGCGCGACAAGAACTGGGCCCAGCGTGAGCCCGGTGTCATTGTCGTCTTCGTCATTGTTTTCCTCGTCGCCATCCTCGTCATTGCCATGTTCATCAACAAGAAGGTACGTTTTCCCAACCACCCCAACCACCCAATTCTTTTCCCATACAGCCTTCTAACACCCACCACAGAGGCAAGCTGGCAAAGGCATGGCATAAGATACCCCCCTTTGATTCGAAGTTGGAGCGAAGCCGAGCAGTACGATTTCAAGGCGGACAAGACATGACCCCCGATACGAAAGTCATAAGAGCTGTTATGTGGACCGGGCAAAGAGCTTGTGTATAATGTGTTTGAATATTCGCGTATAGGATAACACGGGCTGACCCTGCTGGGGAGGCACTGTGGTGCGAATGCCTCTTTGAGAGGGCTTCGTGGTAATAATGAACAAGTCAAATACCCATTGAGCGATTGTCGCGTTGTATTACATTGGATTGCATTGAATTGCTAACGTAGGAGATGGCTCGGAGCTGCACTAACATCGTGGACAGCGCGTTTAACAACTAATCTGGCATCGATCAAACTACACTTGCGCGTCTCATCGGCATGCGAAGAAACCCTCGTTCCATCATCATGCTTCGACGATGCAGGCCGTTGACAATTGCCTCGTCCCTGTGATCCTTCTT